TAGGTTTTCTTAATGGTATTAATAATTCCCTATTCTTTTCCTCGCGACAATAGTTCACCCCATTACTGATGATTATTTTACTACCAGAACGCACTTTCTTATATCGAAGGAGATTTGATTTTTCCGCGGACATCACAAAAAAATTAAAAAACTTCGTGCACTTTCACAGCTGGCGTGAGTCGCTTCGGCTCTACTCGTAGATATTCGGGTCCCCGGCTTTCAAAACAACATTTGTTCCTAATTCTGCCGTGTGCAAATTTAAAGTGAACGTGTAATACAATCATGAAATATACGTTTCTTTTTAAGTCTTTTCTCTAGATCGTGCAAACGAAAGAAAGTGTTGCAAAGTAGATTTTACTAAATTAAGTTAATGTGTGAGATCTCGGAGGTTTATTAAAAGAATATAAATTAAAACAGCGTAATTTGAACTTACCACTTGAAGTAACTTAACGCCGAAGGTTACAGAAAATCTTGACTAACCTGAAACAAAACAAATAATTTAATTAAAATGACAATTACGGACAAAAATTTAAAAAATACAGAATTCATATTTCAGAATGTTCCAATAAAAACGAATAAATTTCCCTCTGATTCCTGGTGGTCTTAATATTATGTTAATAAACTAATGTTATCATTTTCAAAAATATTTTTCGGCCGATCGCATTCTCCCCTCAAGAAACGAGATCAAATGTAGGGGGCGATTTTAAAGTGCTGCAAATATTTATGAAAGGCGAAATTTATACAATGCAGTACAATAATATCAAGTTAAACAAATAAATTAACACATGAGATCGAATACGCCAGAATAACTTGTTTACAACCAGTGGTCTGGCCCTTGAAGTACTAACACAATCGTAAATTTTCTCTCCGCTGACATAACCAGTGTTACTTCCATCTACACGTCTTGCCTTTCTCGAACTCTTAACTCTGCGTGACCTTCACATGAATGTTATTGTGAAAGAGTTACATGAAAGTTGCAAAGTACGAATATCCTACACCAACATCCTCCCACGAGGCGAGGCTCTCAGATCTCGCTGCTTATCCCAAATTAGCTGTTTGTTAAGAAACTTTCATTCCGGTCGCAAATATCTCTTTTTCACGTTATCTACAGTATTGACCCGTATTGGTGATTCCATCGGTAATTTTCATCTTTCTAGGTGACAGACGTGAGGTTTTAAAGAAAATGTCTCGGTCCTCATCAATATTACGTTATTTATTAATAATTTAAAATTAATGCATTTCCCCCTTTTAGCGCAGATGCAAATCCAATAATTCAAAATCCGCTAATCCACGATTCTATATTAACTTCCGTTATATTTCAAACCACTGTTCTACAACAGCCCCGACGTTCTCGCATACGTGTAATTTTTGCAATACTCAAAAATTCAGAGTTCAGGACTTGTGCCATTTATATAGGCGAAATTTGCTCTATTCGATAAAAAAATCGGAATATTAATTCGAAATTTGGAACTATTTTGGAGAAAACTTGGAAAATATTGTTTAAGCTCTAAGTAAAGCAAGTCCAATAAAAATATTATCTTCTAATTGAAGGGGCTGCGTCATTGCCCAGATCGATCAAGCTCCTGTCCTTTTCATATACACTATATTATTTACATTTGATATATTTCACGAGGAAATAAATAAAAAGTACAAGGAAAATGAAATAAATTTTTAGTGCAATAAATACAATTGATTGTTCAATCATTTACAGAGTTGTCAGATGCTTTGGGAAGCCCATTCCACACATTTCGTGTATCAATTCCCTAAATTCTAAGCTTAGAAAGAGAAAATAAGGCGCTCACACCCGGGCGCGCGCCTCTGGTCAACCGTTTTGTGGTCAACAAACTTTCGATATCAAGGACCCCCAAAATGTGGATTCTGACAATCGAACTTGTTAAGAGGAAAATTGTTTACTACATATAGGAACGAGATTTATCCAATTTTTTGGTAAGTTCGGTCAAAAAACCACTGTTTATTTTTGTTGCAAATTACTATACTTTCTTCATACTTCGTCAGAGTATGTGAGAAAATCAAATGTAAAACGCAATAATCACATAACGATAGGCACTTTCGTTTCTGAAAATTACCCGCCTTAGGAAGTTACAACGTGGCCGGGTTCATCTGACGATTTCGAGTCCATTTTTGTCAGAAAACTTTCCTCAGCCGCTCGTCGTCGTCGTCTTTCGACGGTTCGCAAGCGCTGAGCCTGAGAATTGCAAGAGGTCGGTGCACCACGTAAATTCACTTTCACGAATAAATAAACTGTTGTTCGCATCATTGCAAAGAAGGGAGAGAGACACGAGTGTCTTCGGTGGCAAAGCAGTTCATTTCTACCGAATGCTTCAGAATAAAAGTTACGAACTTCTAGTGCATTTATGATGGTTTAAGTTGATCACTTTTTGCCAACGAACATGCGGGAAATCTCATAACGAAATCAAACATGTGTTATTTGTCTCTGATTGGTAGGCAACTTATCTTACACTAGTGTTTGGCAGGTACACACACGGACTGACTGCGCCAGAAAAGCCGCTGTCAACGCCAATAGGTGTTTACTGAATTCATATTCTTACACAATATGTACAAAATCAGAAGAGTACTATCTGAAAATAGCATCGCACAAGTACTCTCGAAGAAATCTCTTTCAGTAAGAAGCACCAAGTTCTTTCTATGGTGACAAAATTTGAAAAACAATAAGGCATTTCTTTTTGTGCTCAAATGTTTCTAGAGAGTTCATGTTTTCTAGTTCATCGCGATCTAGTCTTCAGAAAGTTTCTTTCATTGTAATTTCTGTTGCTTAGAAAATAATGCATTTCAGAATTGAACTCCATCAGGTCTGGTTGTTGGTACGTCTTTCAAAGTACTCGGAAGGTACGTGGTTGTCCAATCTGGCTAATATTTATTACAGCATACCTTTATACATCATTGAATGGTTTTAAAGAACTGATAACTGATTTTTCTTTCTAATACAGATTTCAGAGACGTCTGGCCTTTAAACTTGACGATGAGTTGCTTTATGGCTTTTCGGTCGCACTCACTGAAGTAAAAACATCTTAAATCACTCACTAGACGAACTTGAAATAGATTACCCAGTCTAGCCAACTCCACCTGTTTGAATAAGAAACGTGGATTTCATTCACATGGGTTTCCTTTATTTTTAATGTGACAGAAGTCACTGCCACGAGGAAGAATGTATGACAGCCAACAAGCAATTTACGATTAATTTTGTAAGGCACAGCTCGTTGAATTAGATAGGACCAAAATGTCAGTATTTTAATTTTTTTACACTGCTCCCTAATACAAACTCTTTAAATTAACTTCTAAGTCTTTTTGCTACGTTCGTAGAGGATGTTCGTCGTTGATGTTACGTGAAAGGATCGACACGTAAGTTTCACCATATTCCACTTTATCACGAGGAAAATTCCTATCATCATATCGAGTTTCTGAATTCAATTCCTTGATTTGACTTTGCACTAAAATAACACTTCAAACTCAAATAAATATATCTACATTGTTTTCTTCCTTCCAGCTGATCACGTGAAATTAGACAGGCTTGCTTTTTAACTAAAGCAGCAATGAGGGCACTCCTGCAGACTGTATGCGTTCAGGGACAACGTATACAGACAGTACCTTTCTGATATTTTGTCTCAAGGGGTCTTCCAGTTAGCTTGCAAATTCGCCAATATTAAAAGGGTTCTCACTTAAAACAAAAGGACGCATTTAAATTCTACGCAAAAAACAAACAAACAAGAAAACACGTTTATCTCATTATCGCTAATATGACATGTCATACCCATACCAACCCATCAACTGTTAATAGTAAGGTGAGCTAGTTAAACTTAGAAGAGGTGTGACAATGCCACTGAAATTACTGGATCCCAGTTGCTAAAAACGTTTCAGGAAAGTCATCCTATTTCACGTGTGCTTTCCCAATTTTTTAATTCACTTTTTTATACCTGGATCGTAGGACATATTGGAATGATACAATATGTGAAGTAGTTTTACATTACTTGAAATTTGGCCAACTTCAAAGTTCGGCAGTCACCCCAGCAATGTGACAAAATTATACTGAAATATTTATTAATATAAGAAATAAGTCAATTCAATCGACTGAAAGTGTTCTGCATAGTTTTCTTGCCATGCTTCCTCGCGGATCTCCGATCGCATTTCTAAGATTATCCTCGATTTACAAAAAAATGATAATTCATTCCGTTGAATGCCAAGTCGGCAGGACAAACGTTCGTATTATTTGACAAAAACAAATAATGTGAATGAAAGCTTAATCTAGTCTGAAAGAGAATTTACTTATACACGTGTGTGTGTGTGTGTGTAATATTCTTGTAGAAAAGAGGCAGGTACTAAGCAAGAACCACATTTCCATATCTTTAACGGAATTGCCATGTCAAGTGAAGCAAAAATGCACGAAAACTATTTTTCCAAGGCTCATATTCATATAATAAACTGATATACTACTTGGCACAAAACATTCTTGTTCTGATAAATCAATATTGCAGTAATAATTGATAATCATATATGGACAAAGGCGTATCTACAGTATGGCACGTGACACAGGCACCATTCACAAGGGGTGCTATTTACAGTACACCCACTGAAACAAACAACCGTAATAAGTATCCTGACCGGGGTCCATATTCGATGCTTGCCATGAGCCCTTCCATAATTCACCTATTTAATGGCTTTAAAATGGAAATGTCTTCTGTAGGAAAATATAAATATATCCTTCGTAGTAACGTTCTTACTCTTCTCTTAAGCGGAACAACAATGTTTTAGATCAACTTCCCAGCTTCAACACATTCTGGAACCACATCAGCGCCCCTTCCATTCCAAGTACAAGGGCTTCAAAATTTACCGCAGTGCGCCTGCGCCGGGATTAAGCTCTCTTCTATCAAGAATGCCCCGATGCCAAAGGAATTCCACTGCTCCTTCACTAATCGATTGGCAGGCAGTCGACGTGCCAAAACCGCCCACTCGCACGCAGCGGTTCACGACGATTCGTATGTGACAGATGCGTCAGCCCCCGCCTGCCCAGCAGCCTGCCTTCCCTGCACGCTCCGGCAGCCCCGCGCGGCTCCCTGCGATGTACCAGAGGCCGGAACCCGGCACGGCACGGCGCGGCGCGGCGCGGCGCGGCGCGACGCGGGCAACTTGGCAACGCCGCGGCGGGCGGGCGAGAGCGCTCGAGGCCGGAGCGGCAGGCGCGTCGGCGCAGGGGGGATCGCGCCTCGGCCGGGGGTACCGCGTCCCCCTCCACTCCCCTCTCCCGACGGCCACCGCGCCCCCTCGAGCGCTCCGCGCCGGCGCTCTCCACCCTCGCACCCCCAAAGACCCGTCGCGGGGGCGGCGCGCCTCGGCGTCTGCAGCAGGGCTGTCAACCGCCAGGGGTGAGGCAAGCCAGCCGCAGATTTAGGTCGCGGCCTACATCCAGGCAGCGTTCTGAAAGACAGCCGGCCCAAAACCGTAGAACTCCTGACGAAAGAATTTCTTCTTCGGAAATCGTGGCACGATTAGGATTGTAGATTTAGGATTAGGATTTAGGATTGTTAGATTTTGTTTTCCTGAACGCTGGATGAAAGCTCATCACAATTGGTTCTGCCAAGATCCGCATTAAGTGATAAAAAGTGAAACATTTAAAATACTATTTATATACGTACGATGGTAATCCAATAAAAAAAGATGGCCACGTAAAGTAGCGGTCTAAGTTTTGGAGTTTTAAAATTTGGAGAAAATTAGCAGCAATTTGTTGATCACGAATAAATTAAGAAAACGTACAACGCTTAATAATGCCCGAAAACAATTTTTATTACTCTGAACTGTCCATGAATAAGCTTTAAATTCTGTAACAGGGCTAAAGATCACCATAACATACTACGCTAACTCGTTATTACAAAAATCTAAAAGAGAATGGTCCATACAGTGCTGCCAATGAAAATTCATTTTGTTAAAAACGATGGACAATGAATAGACTGTTTCAATGGTTTTTTAAACTTAACATAATTTTTTAGACGAGAGCCACAGGTTTGCTGAAAGCAACAGGAATCTCTGACACCGACGATACTTACTCCTAAAACGTGATAAAATTCGAATATGAATCGAAATGAATGATGAATATTAGAAATCAAACGGAACGCGCCGAGACGCACAAAACGTGTAATAACACACATATGTAGAACACTTGACTGAACTAGATGAAATGAATGAGGTTATGAGAAAGTATTTGTGAAATTCAGCACTACAAAAATATTACAGAATCAACACCATGGTTTCACGTCCCGAAAAATACCTTTTAAGCCCATAACCTTATACGGTTGATGGCAAGGGAAAGGAAGAGGGAGGGAACCACGGAGACAACGAAAGGAGAAAAGGCATAAAAGAAAGGGATCGTTGGGGACGAGGCGTTGTGGCTGGCGCCGTCAAAGGATCCCACAAGACAAAGCGCCAACCACGATCCCGGCAGAAGGCAATATACCTGGGGCGGTGTCGACCCGTCCGCTCTTTCGAGGCCCGTTGGGACGCAGCGATGTGCAAGCAACTTTCCCTGCTAGCCTAGTATGGAAGGAAGCATTCCCAATCTGCTATTGTCCACATACCTGCATTACACACTGACCACAACTTCTAAGAGGCCGAACATTTACAGCCTGCTAATGGGAAATAACGTTCGTTCTCTGCACGGCAGGTAAGAAAATGATGCGCTGTCTATACTGGTCAAGTTACATTTCATAACAGAATATTCAGTTGCAGGCTGCCAATGGAAATTTCTATTGCCCCCAATTAAGACTGCTAGATCATAAGGATTAAATGCACAAGAATAAAAACCGACGCGGTAAAACTAAATTTCGGAAGCGAATTATAGCTTATTTCGATACACATGAATCATAAACCAGAATTGTATTTTATGACCTTCTTTACATTAATTTCTCTTTGTTACGATCGCTACAAAGAACTACGGTAAGATGTGTGCCGTTGCTTGATAGCGAAAAACAAATGCCAAAATTCGGGCGAAAAAGAACGAGCGTGTCTTCACAGGATTCACGTTAATCCATTTTCGCAACCTTCTATCAACTTTTTTTCTAGCTCCATCAGCATCGTAAATAAAACGGGGACAGAACTCTGGGAGTCGAACCCGCGGTTTGCCGTTTCCTCACAAGCCATCCCAAATAAAGAAACGCCGTCGAGAGAGAGAGAGAGCTCGGCTGGAATCCCTCTCGCTTCTTGTTCGCCTTTTTACGAGGCTAGGGCAGGGAGGGGCACGCCGGGCCTCCTAGCAGGTATCAGTCCCAGACGGACGGGCTTCGTCGGGCGACCGCGGGACACGAAATGGCAACTGTTGGAGGAACCTCTGTCAGGCCGACGGTGCCCGTGGTTGGGCTGCCGGAGTCATAAAAAACCATCCCACAGGATTTTTTGTTTGTTTTGTTTTACGTTTTACTTCACGCAAAAAAAGCAATTCCGGTTTTGGTGCTTACAACGGTAAGCGAAAAGTAACCGATTACTTTCCGCATCTAATTGTAATTGTTTGAAGTGTCTTCTGAAAAATCACAGGTAATGAGATTAAGTTAACCGCATGGAGAGGCTTAATAGAAAAATTCTCACTTCCTCATGACTCTTCTACTACGAAGACATTTCCATGAGGCAAATGCTATTACGTCCCCACTTAAATTGTATTCACTTTCAATGTCAAAAAACACCGGATTAATTTAAAATTTACAGCGTAACACCAGCAGGAGAGTTCACTACTTCTACAATAAACGCTGCACGTGCAGAGTTTTACACCATAAATCTAAAAATTAGCAACTAGTCCAAATACTGCAATTAAAATCTAATATTGCTTCTCGGATGCCTAAGATATTCTGATGCGTTAATGGTATCGTCATTCCAATGAGCACGCCGAAAATGAACCTCTGACAAATAGACATATTACACATACAACTCCCCTGCCGCCAATTCTTGGCAATCATTTGAATGCTACTTCATGTTTCATGTTTTCGTTTGGCGTTGTTCACGTTGAAATAGTCTCCACCAATAAATAGGCGCCTAGAGGCACACAGGCGAGACATTTGAGCAGAATTCTTTGCTGCAGCGCGTCTTCCTGAAACGAAGCAAGCACACCCTGGCGTCTTCCAGGCAGACGACGTGTACCGTTCTTGCTCGAATAGAACAAGTAAACGCGCCGTGTTAGCAGCTTGCTTTCCGACCGGCTCTCCCGAACATTCCATAACCTTCCACTCGGAATTGACTTCACAAACTTCATGAATCCCCCCACTATAAATAAACTACATAAAAACAATCTAAAAAACAGAATTGTTTTATATGTCACACCCAAAAGTATTTAAAACAATTTGTAATGATTAACTCACACGCGAGTTGAATTATTCTACATAAGTCATCGAGAAGCACTCACAGTTATTAATACTTAATTCCTTTCCCGCCACTTTTTCTAAATGGAACCCAGCAAGACACTGCGACTTTTGTTATTTTCAAATTTTAGATCTTCATTTCGAGACTAGCATCACTCACACACTCAATACGGAAGTAATTATGTAAAACTGACGGGCCCGTCCTGGAGTGAGTTCAGGAAAATACCACTAAGTTATGAAGACTTGCGTTTACCACTCCGCAAGAAAACAAGGAGAAAACTTGTAACAAGAAACAAACTAGAGTAAAGGTACGTTCTTTATCAGACTTAACAGTTAATCCCACGAACACATCGAAAGGCATATATTTTGCAAACAAATCTACCACTGAATCTCTCTTATTGCAAACAACGGCTACTCACTTGTCCTCGCCAGTTTCGCACAAAATGCTGCTCACGTGCGCTCAGTATGTCGTGACGCAGCGAGCGCAGAGCTCCGCATTTCTCCCTCGCACGCGGTTTTCCCGGTACAAAATCTCACCGCAACTGCCTCGTCTCCGCCACCGCCTCCGCCTCCTTCCCAGAACGCACTGTGCGCTGAGGCACCCGCCGAACAACAGATCTCGACTGGCGGGCGGGACGGCGCTGGGTGGGCAAGGCGAGGCGGCAAAAAGGCAGGGCGGCTGCGCGGTGGGACCCCCCATGATCCCCCCCCCCCGCCCCCCGAGGCGGGGAGCTGCCTCCTCGCAGGGGCCTAACCGTCCCGGACGTGCGCCGTGCAAGTGGCAGGACCAGACCCTGGAGAGGGAAGAAAGTAAATCCTCTTCGCCCTAAATGCACATGTCGCTCGGCCGCCGCACACAGGGATGAACAAACTCCCGTGCGGGGAGAACGAACCGAAGACAGGGCACGAACTGGGTGCGGTTGAAAGCGAGAGTACGTTTCAAAATTGTGGCACTGAACGTGCTCGGGGTGTATGCTAGTATGTCATTCAATTTTTTTTGTTTTGAAATTCCAACGCTTGTTTCATTTTGGCATGAACAGCGGCAAAAGAAGAGAGAATCGATGTCGGGATAGTAATGCCTTCCCAACCCTATAACCTTGGACCTTGGAACATAGGTGAATCATTTGAGCGTAATTTCATAAATCACTTTGTATGTATCACTTACCCATACTACGTGATTCTACACTCCTCAACGAATAGTAGCGCCAAATTCAAGTTCTACAATCTAATAAATTTGTTCCTTTCTTTTACTGACTGAATAAGCAACTACCAAACATCTTCGAATATTATTAAATGTAATATAATATATAAAAATGCTTTTGAAATCAAGTAGTAATATAAGTAAACTAAGCCACAATAAAAATACACCACAGAACAGTGCTTGTTATTTTATACCCCAATATTGTAACTGAAGGTATTTACATAATGTACTTTTCGTCCCCTCGCGACCCATGAGATTGAGCGATAGGTTTTACGAGTACAATGCGTGTGGTCAGCACATCACAATTCCAACAGTTCTATTGTTTTCACAACCGAATTTCTCCACCATCCAATTCTAACAGACTATTACTGCTATGATGCCGGAATAACCTCATAAACTGAGAACCGGGAACCCCATTTGGATCCGCGAACGCGTTACCAAAGTCCTAGGAGAATGCAAATGAATGACTGATACTGTACACTAAACATTCAGAAAACATTACGAATAGGTTATTATTTGCATCAAAGTATTCGTGAAACACTATTAATCACAACGGCGGATGTTAGTCTTCAAGGATTTCCGGGGGAATGCCAACATTTCGGGTTATACACACCATCATCCAAGTCTTTCTTGCAAAAGCAGATTCACATCGAACCAATCTCTACGACAATCTAACAGTAATTACTGGCCTTGGTGCAAAAGAGAAGAACAGAGGTTAACTCTCCAATGTTTTCAGTTGAATAATCATGCTCCTGGTTGCTAGCAAGAAAGGAAACTCAAGTGGGTAGTCAAGAGGCTGGTGCCCATAGCAACAAAAATGCTGCGTAACAAAACCTCACAAAAAGGTTTTCCAAAACGTAGCAGGCCCACTGCTCAATAACAAATAAAATATTATCAAACACCGCAATAACTTAATTATTTTAACAAAATCAGTCCTCACAAATATTATAACATTATAATATAATTGTACTATAAATCATGTAGTTCAATATTCTTTTTTTTTTACATATTTAGGAGCAACGCAATTTGAACAGCAAATAGCGTATTTAATGCTGGGCGCTCACTTCTTTTGAGACTTCCTGTTGCATGACGTCAGCTGTGTCGAAAGCAAAAACGCACCGAGAATTCACTCGGTATGCAGGACAGATATTCGAAATCAGTAATATGCATATTTTTTTGTATTTCTGCGAGTTCCTGGGTATATATTGTAACAAAATACACACACCACATGGGGGCAGACTGCATAATGTTCTTTCAATTTTTGCGCGAATTGGAAATTAGCAATACATTCTAGTTTTAGTGAACAATTAATCTTAAAATGTGTTTCCAAATAAGAGCGAAAGCAAAGTAAAATGCGTTGAAGTGGGAGTATTTTCAATTTCTATAGCAATCTACGATGTAAAGTACAATTGATTATCGAAATGTAAATATCCCTCAAAGAAAGCGCATGCGATGGGCGTTTAGGGCGGCGCCAAATCGCGTTTAGCTCCGCGCGGAGCAATTAATACTAAGTGAATAACAGTATACTACGCGTTTTTACACTTCTGATTTCATACTATCCAATAGATAATGACACACTATTGTCACATTGAAATATTGAATCGCTAAGCATCAATCGTATCCTCCAAAATTACGAGAATACAACTATATGAGCGTGTAGAAAATGGCTATTTGCCAGTATGAATTCCAGACATTAAATCGATAAAAAATTGCTTATCTTCACTTAACACCACTCTTTTTGACACTTTGTGGATATCTTTCAAAGGTCGCGGTTCCAAACAACGTTTTGCTGGTAAGAAACTGATAAGAATTTGCAGCTAAAAGAAATAATTATTGATTTAAAAAAATCACATTTGAAAGACCAAGAAAATTAGAGGAAATGTTGCAACGATTTGCTTAAGAATGTAACTTATCTTCACAAATAATCAATCTAAAGAGCTCCACTTGAACAATCTAATTCATGCCCATTGAAACAGTGATCGTCAGTGGGAATAAAAATGCAATTTAGTCGTACATGTGTCGCTGATTTATATCCAATCGTTCTCAGTAAGGTTCGAATCCGGAAGTAAATGCTACTTGAGATAATAGCTCTTAGAGCAACTGGTTTAGTATCAAAACTAAAGCCCAAGCATTATTTGCTCAGAACAAATCATCTGGAGATGAAGTTTTTTTAAAAAAGCAAATTTTAAGATTTTCCCCTTTGCAGAAGAGGGTAAGATTTACACCATCAGGCCAAAAAAAAATTAGTGTATCCAAATCAATGCATTCAGTTATTAAATATAAAAGTATTCTTTTCTTAAGGAGGCCCTTTAAAGGTTTACGAAAATCTACACAAGAACTCAACTGTACTTCCCTCCCTCCATGAAGTCTTCCCGTATTCACAGCCCGAAAATGGAAGACTCGCAAGCCCTTTTCTCCCTCATAAAATCTCTATTATCTTCGGGCCACTCAAGGACTTGAAAAATGTTTCAGGCCACCCACCGACGGTGTCACTTCGCGCTGGTCTGCGAGCGTTCATTCACTTGCCTCTGCCCAAAAGGGTGTCCTCATTTGTTCGTCCGTTAGTGCCTTCGTTTCGTCCAAACAGCGCACTCGCCCTCCTCGATGGGGGCCGGAGGCCAGGGGCCAGGCACATTGCACCGGCCAGTGGCGAAGGAACACAGTGGTCCGAAATACCAAATGCGTGCAAAAGAATATTCCGCCCTTTCGAAGTCAGCATTTCTGTTTATGGGGGAGGGGAATTAAATGGAAAAAACATTAAAAAACTAACAGATGTGTAAACATTAAGACACATTTCATCCCCCGTTCGGTATTATTTGACATTTCCATAAATCAAGTAATTTTGTTTGTAACATTGTAATAGTGTCCTGTCATGTTAAGCAGTTTAAAAAATAATAATTTAATTGTATTTCTGAAATATTTACTCCAAATGTAATAACTAAACAAAACATTTGAGAAACAAATAGCCCACAATATTTCAGAAATGTGTCATCCACATTTCTTTTTTGTTTCCAGTGCGCGCCATTCAACCCGTTTCGGACTAGCGTGCCGTGGCGGCGGCGGCGGCCACGCAGTCAGGCGGGCGCACGGACGGGCGGACGGGCGGACGGACGGGCGGGCGGACGGCGGCGCGCCAGAGTGCGTTGCGGCCTTGGCAGGCGGCGGAGGTTGCCGAACGCCGAACAAAGACTCGAGCAGCGCAGGCGCCGCGCCCCTCTGCCGCCGCCGCCGCCGCCGCCACGCAAGCCCGTGGTCCACTCGCCCGCAGCCGACCACTGCTCGTCTCGAGCAGGGCAATCGCGGTTAACACGGCGTTCTCCACCAAATGGGATTTTCCTGGCCTGCAGAGCTGGCAACTTGCAGACACAGGGCGTGGCCTGGCTGAAGCCAAGGAGCAGGTTCACGAAATTTTGGTTTTCTTGGCTTAGAAGTGGCTCGTAGAGGCCAAAATCGTGTCACGGCGCATAAAAAAAGTTGGTAATGCTGCGAGGTTTCCAGAAATATAACTTGCAAAAGCTGATGAACTACATAACATGAGTACTTAAACTTTGCGTTTACAAAATTGTTTAACATTTTCTAGATATAAAACTCTCCGTACTATTATGCTTATTTGTAATCACAGAATCAGTTTGATCTAATCTTAGTGGCCAGTTGCACCGTGCACTCAACTGACCGTGAAAAGTTATTTGCAAGTGATGGGTAGTAACAGACGATGTTCGAAGTTCGAACTACGAAATGTTAAAAATAAAATAAAATATACGGAGTGTGGGCTGGGCGTCTGCCAGTGTATGCAGTGTAAGTGCAGCGTAGCAAGACGTAGCAGAAGTGAATAAAGTAAATAAATAAAATTTTAGATTAGAATTAGATACAATAGAATACATAGAGTATAATTAGATGTTATTAATTAGCTGTAAGTACATTTTTGAGTGTATATATATTATATGTGTGTTATATGTGTAGGTGTGTGTGTGTATATAACGCGTATACGCACATGTACGTGTAATATGCATATGCGTTATGTATATGTGTATATGTTATACATGAGTGTATATATAATATGTGTGTATAAGTATGTATGTATGTGTTGTGTGCGCTGTGAGTATATACTATTATGTGCGTTGTGCGTGCGTGTTTGGGGTGTGTGCAGAGAGTCTGAGTTTCACATGTGTACCGTGAAATGGAGCTTTTTTGCTATCGGGTATACAGTGTTCTAGGTAATACATTATATTTAATTTACATTTGTATAATGAAATTAAGTTTGGCTACCACCTTGCAAAGACGCCCAATTGTGGCCAAAATAAAATATATTATTTATTATTATATTACGAAAAAGTTCTTTGATTGCGAACATGACAAGGGCCATTCCAATCTTATCTTAGTCATTCGAATTGGTTCTAATGCTATTAAGTGAATTATTGCAAGGAAAAGTGAAGGACTTTCATATGACGCCAAATTTTGGATGGATAATCAAGAGCGATTGTTTGTATAACATGAAGTGAGCAGATATGTACTAAATTATTCGAAACTACTTAGACAGTAATATGTTAAAATCCCTTGCAATTGATAGATTCGTAAAAACCTGACCCTGATTCTAACAAACTGCGAGAATAAACAATCCAATAATAAAAATTGTTAAGATGGTGGATTAAATTAATTGATACTTCTCATTATTTTCCCTTGATGTAAGATGCTGGTTCTAATATATCGAAGTATAAATCAATTTTATTACAGAACAACTGCCGTCTTACTGTCAACAAATCGGGTACGATTATTTTGCTGTCTGGGGTGGCAATGAAATCAAAAACAAACATTTTAAAGATAAACTAAAATGAAATCACAAATGCCATAATTCCTTCTTACGCGACGACGACATTAATTAGAGCACTGGAGCAACTCCAACCATAACACTTCACTGAACATGCTTCGGCAAGATTTTGGCTTGGCACTTACAGTTGCCAAGGAATGAGGCCAGATTACACAATTTTTATCTATCAAACATAAGGCAAGGAGGCAAAAAGAGGAACAAGGATCTGAATAAACTCAACAATTCATTGTCATGCAAGATTTAAAGTCCGATATCCACGAATCACCTCCTGACGTTTAATTTCCAATCTTATTGATCCTTGGATTTAGTTTTGTTCTTATTGTAAACCCAATGCATCCCACGGTAAACGTTTCCTAAGCCGTTTACCTACCTTCCTAAAACGTCATAGCCCGACTGCATCCCGTCCCGTTTCCGTCCTTAAGCCTGTGTTCCACGGTAATTTTTTCATCTTTTTTTCATTTTTTCTGTACAGAAAATGAACGGAAAAAGGACGTTCGTTTGTACACGTTGTTTCGGTGCCGAAACTGGATGAAAGTGATTCCAGGGTTTTACACTAATTTCTTTTCTTTGTACGCAATCGTGATGAAAATACTTCGTCCGGACGCCGCAAAAGACACTGAAGTTCAAACATTTGAAGATCGCATCTATGGTAACAAATGAAGTTAGGTTATATTAGGACAGAGCACGAAAGGCGATGACATTAGGACACAGTACATAATTTATTCTTACTACATATTCACTTTACATTAGAATTCAAAACATCAGAACGCTTTCGAAACTATACAAAATAAACAAATCGCACCACATGAATAACAAACCACAGGAAGTTCCTAATAGTGACGCCAGGAGCGCGATAGTCAAACTCATGTGTACCGAAAAAGAAGCATGTGTAATTTTTTCGTACAAATTACATCCAGTCTGTTCTGTCTGAATTGAATTGAAT